TGGTGGTGGTGGTGATGGTGGTAGTGGTCTCGTGATGTGGATTGCTCGTCTTTTCAGCCACGCCGCGTCTGAAAACGAAAGGCCCCACTCCGGCTCGCTGTCGGCTAGCATCGCATCCATGTATGCTGCAGCAACCGAAGCGCCGAAGCCCCGAAGCCCCCAGTAACCACGGTGCGTTCGCGGAAACATCACATCAAACAAGGCCTCCTTCACCGTATGGCGCGTGGAATTCCCTGGCAAAAAGAGTAATGTAGCGCATATGCCATACGCACGCTCTGTTTCACTTGCTCATCGCTGGCGTAACGCTACATGTACTGACTAAACTAAACACCAACGAACTCCATTTGCTGCCGCTGACGTTCGGCGCACAAGGAACGTTTTCGCAAAACGCGCCTCTTTATTTTTCGCGTGATTCCTGCAACACAGCGTGGCAAAGCGCGGGATATAAATGAGGGAAATGAAGCAGCTTAAAGCGAATTTTTATTTTTTTTCTCCTTTTTTTTTTATTCCAGCGTGATTGGCTTGCCAGGCACGCGCTGCCGGGCATTAGCATAAACACGGCAGATAACGCACAGTTCAACACCGACTGCCGGGCTGGACCTTATTCGCGAATCCGCGCCATTCGCTTATTCCCACGGCCCGTTTTACTTTTGTTTTTGTCGATTTTACATCTTTCTCTCTCTCTCTCTCACTCTCACGGCGCTTCCTCCTCGTGCTCTCTCAGTGCGAGATTAAAACAAAATAAAATAAATGGAAAAACAAAAAGAAGAGGACCAAATCCGCGCGCGCGCGCGTTATGCGGCCCTAATGTCAATAAGCCTCGTTACGTCGAAAGGCGATAAATAATTTACGCGTCGCGCCCGGCGTGAGAGAGAGGGAGGGAGGGAGAGAGAGAGAGAGACAGAGAGAGAGAGAGAGAGAGAGTGAGTGAGTGGCGTGGAGGCGCGCTCCATTAGGAGTGATTATACTCACGGCGATGGATGGCCCGCTGTGTGCGTCGGACGACCTCTGACCTTCTGGTTCCGGCCGCGATGCACACTGCCACGGCAACGCCACGCCACGCCAGCACCACGCCACACCACGCCACGCCAGCACAACGCCACGCCACGCCACGCCACGCTATACCACGCCATTCCACGTGTCCGGCACCGGCAGGCCATCAGCCACATTAAAATACAATCAAACGGTGAGGGGCGGTAAATCAAAGCTCTGGAAAACCTCCTGGCCGAGCCGATAGCCGAGCCAAGCCGAGACCGAGCCGAGCCGGGCCGAGCCGGAGCCGCTTGCAATGACCCGTCATTTCCACCCACGCACTGCCATTCGGACTCACTTTCGTTTCCGATCCCTTTTCCAGGATAATAAGTCTTGTTATTATTGCATGTGGTGGAGTGTGGGAGTCGAGAGTGCGTGTGTCTGGTGCTCGAGAGACGAGCGCTGCGAGTGAGAGAGATGGAAAGTTGTCGCAGAGAGTAGAGTCCATTCCCTATATTCTGGCAGAGCGGCTAGGCTTTGCTTACCGGTCGTCTTTGTTAGGCTCATAAACACCGTGGTCGAAGGGACGATACCCGAAAGTTAAAGTGGCCACCTCTCCGAGCCGAGCCTGGGCGTGCGCATTGTCTTTGAGAGAGGAGCCCCACGCAGGTCTGGAGGACGGGTGGACACTCTACATCGGCAGGTCAACCCTTATAACGCACCGGAACACACCCTGCTGATGGGTTACACAATGACTGAATGGCATTGTCTCGAAAGCCTTTGCTCGCCGCTCTGCCAGAATATAGGGAATGGACTCTACAGCACAGGGATCATCCACAAAGTACGTTCGTCATTCGCCGAATACGAGCCTATAGCAACTTCAGGCTCTGCAAGCTCTCATAGCGCCTGGACAGGTAGGCAATATCTTGCATACAGTGCGTGCGTGTACTGCCGGGTGGCCTACCCGGAGTCTTGCAGGCGCCAAGCTCCTCAATTAACCGAATGGATCCGGAAAAATGGACGTATTTTCTGGACGGTCCCATAGCTGAGAAATATAGTGGGTTTCCTTGTGGCTAAGGTTAGAAATTCCCAAAGTTTTCGAAAAATAACGGAAAACTTCCAAAGTCTGGAAAATTATTCCATTTTTCCCAGAAATTTCCCGTTTAAGAAATTTTTTCGAAAATTTTTCGGAAACTTTCCAAGGCTTTGAACCCTACTTGTGATAGAACGAAATGAACGACCACCGAGAAGTTTTGAAAAACAACAAATCCCACCGTGTGGAAGCCAAAACAGCTGTGGTTATTTTGCCGGACGCGACACGCGCGCGCGACGCGGCGGACCCCGTGGAAGGTAAGTGCTCATCACCATAAACCAGCGCGTGGTGCGCGAGCGCGCGGCGGAGGTGTGACATCGCGTCAGGTGATCCGCGCGCAGCGGGTGGCGGGGGCCGCGTCCGAGACCACCGCCAGTCCGCCGGGCGGGCGACACATGGAGAGTGAGTGCGTGGGACACGACGACGACGTCGCGGACGCGGCCCCGGAGCAGGCGGATGGGCGGCCCCCGCCCCTGCCGGCCGTATCTCCGGCGGCTGCAACAATGTTCGGCGCCGAGGAGTAAGTCCCGCCGGACGGACGGTGGTACCCGTCTGGCTGCATCCAGTGGCGTGGCGTGCAGAGTGCAGGACGGAAGACTTCGAACAACACGGGCCAAAAGGTACTCTCTCTCTCTCTCTCTCTCTCTCTCTCTCTCTCTCTCTCTCTCTCTCTCTC